GAGAAGTTATATTCGCATAGGGATTTAGAATCTGGGCTGCCAGGTATGGCTGCTTACTCTCTATGTGAAGCTTGGTCCAGTTACTGGTTCCCTCTGGACCTCCGTGTCCTCACCTGTCAATGAGTTACTGAAATTAAAATATCTCATGTAAAGGTAGCTGTGAGGGTTAAATGAGTCAATCCATGTAAAGTGTTTAGAACATTCTCTGGCCCATGGCTGTCCGATAAAGACTCACATACGGCGAATCCTTTCCGACAGACATCGAGATGGCCTTGTGCTATCAGAAACAATACTGCAAGACACATCCTCGCTCACCTGTCATTTGGCACAAGTGCAAGAATCTCCATGGGATAAATTCCTGGCGGAGAAATTGCTGGGTCAAACCGTAGTGCCCTTGTAATTTCAATTAATTTTTGGATGAGCAGGCAGGGCAGGGGGAAGGAGGTCCACAAGGCAGTGAGGATGGACGAGGGAGGAGTGCGATGCAGTGTTCTGTCTCTGAGGCCCAGAGTGCAGCCATGTCTGCACCACCGCCCCCCTGCCCAAACCTGAAGGACGCAGCAGCTCCCTAAGCTCCGGGCCAAGCAGATGGAGAGTTGAATTTTATACAGATTGTTCCCATAAAGGTTTTACAGGGAATTGGTTGATTGGATTAGAGCGGCAGGAGACCCTAATGACAGCAGCTGCTTAACAAAATGTTGAAACAATACAATTTTCCTTTACCACCACCCACCATGGCAGCATCCACACCCTGGTAGGGACCCGTGGATGCCCAGGTCAACTCAGAATGACACCCCAATAGTCGGGTTCGCCTTCTCCCAACATCCTTCTAGGTCCCAGACCTAGGTAGAGAGCAAGGGGTTAAGAGCACAGGTGTGGGGGGGGGGAGACAGAAAAGGTCTTTTGTCTGCCGAAATTACTGTGTGACCTTGGGCAAGTCATTTGCTCCCTGACCTCACAGAAGAATGGGACCTACTCCCCAGGGGTTGTCCTGAGTGAAGTCAAACACGAAGTACTTACACAGTGCCCAGCACACAGAGCCTAATACATGGAAGCGCTGAAGATACAGATGAAGATAAAGGCAGCTACTGGGGGCCCCACCTGAGAAAGGCCTGGGGACAAGGTATACGGTGGTAGCTCCCCAGCCCCATCTGAAGAGAGCGATTTAGCAGTTGCCCCAACCACGTCCTAGGGAACGGTCCAGATGTCCCAGTCTGGAAAACAGGATGTGTGACTTAGGTTTCCAAGTAAGTTTTAAAGGCCTTGCCCAAGCTAGTATTCCATTTTGTGTCTGATCCCAAAGGGCAAATGAGAACTCTCGGGTGAGAGAGAGGCACTGGAAGTTTCCCAAGCACCCCCACCTTCCCCTCCTTGATCTGATCTGGGATCTACCCTTTCAGAGAAGTCCCAGGAGTAACAGCAGCAAGTACCCCCACCCATCCAGGAAGAAGCTGAATCAGGGATGTGCCCAGCTTCGGGGTCAGGTCACGATTAGCCTATACCCGCCAGAGTTTTGTGCCTGTGAGTTCGAGCCTCAGCCGCCTTCCTCACTGTAAGGTGGGGACAACACGGGCGCAGTGGGAGAGGTTGGAGGAGCGACTGCGTGGCAGCGTCCCGCCCCCCGCCCGCACCCCGGGGACCCGCACCGCAGAGGCACAGGCGCGTCGCAGCCTAGCGCGTCCACGCCTCCACGGGCGGGTCCCCCCGCGGCCTCCCGCGCCGCGCGGCGGGGACCCGGGTGATTGCAAACAGCCGCCGGCCTCATTAGGAGACGTGTAATTAGCGGCTGGCGGAGCCGGAGCCTGCCTGGGCTAATTACCGCGGGGAGCGGGCTGCGCCGCCCACGCCGCCGCCCGGGCCTCCAGGCCACCGCGGGTGTCTGGACCCCCCGTGCGGCCCGCAGGGGAGCCGCGCCCCGTGTGTTTGCTCCCGGGGCTACGCCCGGGGCGGAGTGCGGGGCGGGAGGGAGGAGCAGATCATTCACACAAACGGCGTGTACTCCGCACTCCCCGAGCCAGGCGTTTTCGCCCCCGCTATCTCGTTTATCCCCTATTCACTCGTGAGCGCGGAGCCACCATCATCCTGTTGCACAGCTGAGGAAACTCAGGTCTGGGGACGTGAATTAACCTCCTCGGCGGCAAGTGGCTGGGAAACAGAGAAGGGACAGGCAAAACCGTGCACAAGGCAGCAGCCACGTTGGCTACAGTAAGGAACCGAGTCGGAGGGCCTTTGGTTCGAATTCTAATCCAGCTCCTTACTGGATGTGACTTTGGTCGGAGCCCCAACTACATCAATAAAATGGGCGTGGTGTAGGGATTAAGTGACTTGAAAGCTAGGAAGTGTTGGGAGTTATTTTAGGGACGCAAGGCGGGGGAAGGGGTGCTCTGAGGCTCGGGCTTTTCTTCGCGCACAACGGGCCTCTGGCGCCCCCTGCTGGCCAAAGGGGGACACTGGCGAGACCGTTTTGGTTAAACAGGTGGTTTTAGGTTAAGGAGAAACAGCTTGGACACAGGTCTCTCAGCAGAGCCACTGCCCTCCCGCCACCCCGCCACGCCGCCTCCCCTTCTCCCCTTCCTTCCTCAGCATCCCTTCTTTAAGGTGGCAAAGAGCTGAGAGATGGGGAAATTGAGGACTCATTCCAGATTTTGCAAATACTTGGCCTCCCTTCATGGACCTCACAGGGCCAGCCAATTCCACACTTCCACAAGTAGGGATGGATATAAAGATCAAGTTACAGTGGCGCCTGGGTGGCTCAGTGGGTTAGGCCTCTGCCTTGCGCTCGGGTCATGGTCTCAGGGTCCTGGGATCTGCCCCATGGGGCTCTCTGCTCAGCGGGGAGACTGCTTCCCCCTCTCTCTCTGCCTGCCTCTGCCTACTTGTCATCTCTCTGTCAAATAAATGGATAAAATCTTGAAGAAAAAAGAAAAAGATCAAGTTACAAACCTGTGCACCTGCGTGCTGGGTATAACAAAAAATCTGGAACTAATCTGAATGTCTATCATGGGAACATTGACCAATTTAGCAGTGTTATATCCAAACAGTTCAATACTGTGCCGCTGAAAAATAACATTGCAGAATGGTTGGCATGAAAACAATCAAACAAGAATGAATCTTACAGTGTTATTATGAGTAAAAGGAGACACACACATACACACACACAGAAACATATTGTTGGATTTTTATAAAAAGTTCAAAAACAGGGGTGCCTGGGTAGCTCAGTTAGTTAAGGGGCTGCCTTCAGCTCAGGTCATGATTCCAGGGTTCTAGGATGGAGCCCAGCCCCAAACAGGGCTCCCTACTCAGTGGGGAGTCTACTTCTTCCTCTCCCTCTGCCCCTCCTCCCTGCTTGTGCTCTCTCCCACTCTCTTTCTCAAATAAATTTTAAAAAATAATATCTCAAAATAAAATCTTTCAGGGGTACCTGTGTGGCTCACCCATTAAACGTCTGCCTTGGGCTCAGGTCACGATTCGAGGGTCCTGGGATTGTGCCCCACATCAGGCTCCCAGCTCTGCTGGAAGCCTGCTTCTCCCTCTCCCACACCCCCTGCTTGTGTTCTCTCTCTTGATGTTTCTCTGTCAAATAAATAAAATATTTTTTAAAATATATTTTAAAATAAATAAAGTTCAAGAACAGGCAAAGCTGATCTTATCTTGATAAAGGTCAAAACAGAGGCCACTTCTAGGAAGGTTTTGACTGGGAAGAGAGCAAGGAACCTTCTTGAGTGTGGAAATGCTCCCTCTTCATCTGGGTGGTAGTTACAAGAGTCTACACATATGTAAAAATTCACTGAGCCTTACACTTAATATGTACTTTATGCATAGTACACATCAATAATTCAGTTGTAAAAAAAAAAAAAAGATACTCAAGCAAAAAAAGTGCTAAGCAGTTTGATCCTATTCGTAATAAGAAAAAAAAAAAAGAAAAATGTAATTTAACACGGGGCAGCAGTTCTAAGATTTTTATCTCAGGACCCCTTTATGTGCTTAAATTATTGAGGATCCCAAAGACCTTTCGTTTTTATAGGATTATTGATACTTATCATGGATATTAAAACTGAGAAATGCAAAGATTCCAAGTAAATATAACAAAACTAAGTGTTTAGAACACAATAGAAAATCCCATCAGCCATCAGTGATAATGTCAGCAGATGTCACATAGTCTCCGAAAAAGTGTCCACTCTGAGAAAATGAAAAAGGCAAATAACATCTGAGTATTATTATGGAAGTTATTTGACATTAGGGACACCTGGAAAGAATCTCAGAAAACCCAGCGGTCCCTGGACCTCACTTTGAGTGAGACCCTATGGCACAAGGGGAAAGAAAAGGAAGTAAATACACTACATGATAAATTAGTTTCTCTCGGTGTTGAGATTATTTTTATTTCCTTCTTTGTACTTTTCTATTTAAAAAAAAAAAAGTAAAATATAACAATCACGGATTGTTTTTGCCAACAAAAGCCGAGGCAATACTCCGGTTTCCATAAGATTGTTGAAAGACCCAAATAGTAATAATATATTTGGCTGTACGAAAAAATTAAACCGATCTCCAACCTGAAACTAAGGGCCCGATTTCCCGTGTCAATCCCGGCAGTGTAAATGCTGGGTCTCGCCCTCGAAAGTTCCGCCGTCTAACTTTAGGGAGCGAATATAAGTGCATACACAACTTGATTGCAAGGTAATAGAGAGTACATATCCCGAGAGCCCCAAATGCAGCGGATGCACCTGCAAAGAACTGCAAACTCCGGCATGCTGCAGAAACACCCATAGCAACCACACGCCCCTAGATCGCGGAACCCCCCTCCCAAACACCTAACTCAGCCGGGCGGTCAGCAGGACGCATGCGCTCTACAAACGTAGAGGGAGGTAGGGCTTAAGGAAGACTGGCACGGGGTTCGGCCTCCCAACCCTCTAGCCCCGCCTTCTTACCCTGCTTCCTCTCTGACTGGTTGCAAGACTGCGGAGGGTAATTTCCCATTGGCCACCAGCAAAACCGCAGATATCCGGTTTGGGAGCTGGGCCGCAGCGCGCGGAGGCCGCCATGGTGCGGTTTAAGCACAGGTAGAGGCCCTCTGCCTGCCCAACATTTGCTCCCCTACCGGGTCCCCCGCGGCCTTGGCCGCGCGCTCACTTTTCTGCTGCCCGCCGCAGGTACCTACTGTGCGAGGTGGTGTCTGATGACCCCCGTTGCCGCCTGAGTCTGGAGGACCGAGTGCTGGGCGGCCTCATACGGGACACGATCGCCCGCGTGCACGGGACTTTCGGCGCAGCCTCCTGCTCCATCGGCTTCGCGGGTACGAGAGTGCTGGGGAACTAGGCGAACGGCGGGATTGGGAGGGAACGGGGGCCGGAAGAGGGAGAAAGAAAGGGTACGGGAGACGGCAGGAGCTTCCGAACCGGATACACAGTCCTCACTGTACAGTATGTCCTCTTGAGGCCAATCGGAGTCTGAGCCCAAGTCTGCATGAGTCCGAGGTTAGACGGAGAGCTAAAAGCAGAAGGCAGTGGCACTTTGGGAAAGAATCGGCTTTATCAATTTCACGTGTGTATACTGGGGATTGTGATTGAGCAAGATAATGAATTAAATGGGGGAGGACGGGTATAGTTCCGAGTTAAGTTACTTGGTTACATTGACATCCCATGGGGGGGGAACTGTCAAAATTACCTTTAAAAAAACCCCTTAATACAGCAGATGAAATACAGAACCCACCATGGTATGTAAATGAGGGAGGGGATTCTTCTGACAAGGACGCTGTTTTAAGTGTTTTATTTTTTTTTTAAGATTTTATTTTATTATTTATTTGACACAGAGAGATCACAAGTAGACAGAGAAGCAGGCAGAGAGAGAGAGGGAAGCAGGCTCCCTGCTGAGCAGAGAGCCCGACGCGGGACTCGAGCCCAGGACCCTGAGATCATGACCTGAGCCGAAGGCAGCGGCTTAACCCACTGAGCCACCCAGGCGCCCATGTTTTAAGTGTTTTATTTTAACGATTATAAAGATATTTATTGGAGACAAATAGCGAGAGAGCGCAGGAGCTGGGAGGAGCAGGCTCCATTCCAAGATCCTGGTATAAAGACCTGAGCTGAAGGCAGAGGCTTAACCTACTGTGCCACCCAAACTCCCCAGCCACGCTATTTAATATTTAAATTCATTACCTGTTTTAACCTTTGCTTAAAATTGAATACTGGAGAATTCATGCACATAGGCCCAGTTCATTTACATTGGGTCATTCGCAACCTCTTCAAGACCTACAGAATCCAGTTGCAATAGAACCTGTTTATCAGGGGGCACCTGGGTGGCTCAGTCACCTAAGCATCTGCCTTTGGCTCGCATCTTGATCCCACAGTCCTGGGATCAAGCCCCCATCAGGTTCCCTGCTCAAGGGGAACCTGCCTCTCCCCCTCCCTGCCATTCCCCCTGCTTGTGCTGTCAAACAAAATCTTAAAAAAACAAAAAACTTTTTTTTTTAATTTATTTTTTTTTTTATTTGTCAGAGAGAGAGGGAGAGAGAGCAAGCACAGGCAGACAGAATAGCAGGCAGAGGGAGAAGCAGGCTCCCCGCCAAGCAAGGAGCCCGATGTGGGACTCGATCCCAGGACGCTGGGATCATGACCTGAGGCGAAGGCAGCTGCTTAACCAACTGAGCCACCCAGGCGTCCCCAAAAAACTTTTTTAGCCAAGATTTCCCCTGAGGAAGATGGATCTCTGCCAGTCCCAGCCCCACTTATCAGCTAATCAGTGAATTAGAAGAGCATTTAAAATTCCAAATTCATTCTGATTGGTGTGCAAAGACCTGGTGTGGTTTATTCCTTTTTCATAAATAAATGCCTGTCCTAAGGTTTTTTTTTCCTTCAGAAATTTGTTTTTACTCACTGATGCATCCCAAGTGCCACTGCCTGGCACATAGTAGAAGCTCAGTTACTCTAAGATTTTTAAATGAATCCAGAGTTTCCCAAAATGATTTTTTTTCCCCTGCTGTAGTGCGATACCTCAATGCCTATACTGGAGTAGTGCTACTTCGATGCCGGAAGGAATTCTACCACCTCGTGTGCTCAGCTCTTCCTTTCATCACATACTTGGAGAACAAAGGACACCGTTACCCGTGTTTCCTCAACACCTTACACGTGGGAGGTAGGGGTGCATGTGGTATGGCCGCTGATTTTCAATAGTAACAGGTCCAGGGTTCAGTCTTGACAGGCAGGTAGGTCTTCCTGCTCTCCTGCCAAGAATAGGAGGCTTTCACCCAGCTCACAAAGTCTTTGAGACAGACACCTTTCATGAGCTGTTGACCACAGAGTTCTTTCATTTGCCAGGTACAATTAGAACATGCCAGAAGTTCCTGATTCATTACAACAGGAGACAGCTGTTGATCTTATTGCAGAACTGCACCGACGAAGGTAAGCAACGTTAGCCAGTGCCCAGTGAGCAGTAACTAGCCTGGCTGAAAAGAGGTGACTCCCAAAGACCTCTTTCATCCCTGCTCTGCCCGCCTTTCCAGGAGAACGGCAAGCTATCCAGAAGTCTGTCGTCAGAAGCTGTTTACTAGAGGAGAGGTCAGATGAGGAGTTTTCGGAGAGTGGTGATGAGGAGGCTGCTGAAGCAATGGAGTGAACCTCTGCAGGCTGTGCTGGGCCCGAGATTCAGGGCCCAGTTGTTGGAACAGGACATTCTGGGAGGCAGCAGCATCTGCTACAATTTTGCCAAAGTGGATGACTGCTCACCCGAGGCCAAGGTATCAGCTCAAAGTAGAGGACTTGTTCACTTAAACTGAAGTCACCTTTACCTAGCGCTGCCAGGTTAAGTGGTCCTGCAGGTGGTGAACCCCCAGCAGTTACAGACTATCTAATTGCCTGGCTGAGTAGGTTTAATAAATGTACTTGGCAGGGCACCTGGGTGGCTCAGTCAGTTAAGCATCCGACTCTTGGTTTTGGCTCAGGTCATGATCTCACGATTGTGGGACTGAGCCCCAAGTTGGGCTTTGTGCTCAGCATGGAGTCCTCTTCGGATTCTCTCTCTTCCTTCTCTCCCTCTCCCCATCTCCTGCTCTGTTTCAAATAAAAATTTAAAAAATAAATATACTCACTTCTATAGCAGCCATTTAGTATACTTAAGAAGTTCCATTTTGGGGGCACCTGGGTGGCTCAGTGGGTTAAAGCATCTGCGTTCGGCTTAGGTCATGATCCCAGGGTCCTGGGATCAAGCCCCGCATCGGGTGCTCTGCTCAGCAGGGAGCCTGCTTCCTCCTCTCTGCCTGCCTCTCTGCCTACTTGTGATCTCTGTCAAATAAATAAATAAAATGTTAAAAAAAAAAAAAAAAGTTCCACTTTGGCTGGGAGATCTCCTTCCCTGGCTATCCCTGGCCTCAGTGGGAAGACTGGCTCCCTGTGATGCTAGATGTATAGCCTCCCACTTGAGGTTTTGTGGATGAACCCTAAGCAGTCCAGGTTATTTAGAGTAAAAGTTTTATTAGTGAGACATGGCAACTAAACTGGCACAAATCTATAGCTGGTTTCCATACTGGCCTTAAAAATAGCAGATTCTTTACCAATCCTTAATCAGGTAACAGGATAACAAACATGGTTCTTGGCATTTTTCTTGCCGGAGGAGGTAGCGGGGGGGGGGGGGGGGGTGGTGCGGGATGGTGGTGACAAAACCTGGCCTTGCCTGACATTACAAATCCAAGCAGCAGCTGCCAGCTTCTAGTAGTTTCTGCAGTTCGCCCTTCCCTGTTGTCTCACCCCTGCCAGGCCACCTGAAACCCAGTAACACCTCCAAACTCACAGAGGTTAGGAGGGTTTGGATCCACTACTTACCAATGACATTTCTAGGATCTGTTCTCTTGTATAATAAAACAGATGTTATTCCAAGTCCCTTACACATTTAACAGAAAGATCTGTAATGTTTGCCTCAACATGTCCCCTTCTCTTCAGGGCTGAAACACGCTCAGGCACCCAGGGCAGTTCCTGTCCCAGGAATTATGAACCTCTTTAAGAATGACAGGAAAAGCTAAGCCCAATTCAAGAACCCCTTAGTCCTGACACTAGGAAAGACCCTGCCCTGTGACACCAGAGTGCTCAAGCTCACAGTAGCCATTACTTTACCCTATTTAAGAAGTGTGTCTAGCTAACCTGTAATGAACTTTAAAAAACCAGAAAGCTCACATTGCTTGTGCAGGTGATTTATTGCAACTATTTGCCTTCACATTCTGTTATACCTAGAGGTCACTTTATTAAGCAGCAAAGTAATTCACATCACTCAAATTCCACTCAAACCAAGGCACAGACTGCTCTAGACAACAGAGAGGCAGGCAGTGGGCACCACCACTGCTTTCAAACCTGTTCAGCTCTGCCTCCAGCTGTGCCAGATTCCTCTGCTCCTATAACTCAGGCCACTGTCGCTCAAAATAAGCTTCATCTAACAGTTGGCAGGTTCCAGGGCTGCTTTAGTGACAATTACAGCTTTCCTTGCCAAATGAGCCACATACAAGTTGTAAAACCCTCTAGCACCTAGGTAAGCAGGCGCATCCTGGCCATGTCTCAGAAGAAAAACTGCAGTTCAAGCTGGGTGTCCTAAATCCATTTTATTCCCATCCTCTGTTTTTTTAACAAGAGGAAAACTAGACAGGAAAGGCTCTATTTTTAAAAGACGTGCTGAGTGTGTGTTGAAACCATGATGCCCTGACGCGTCAGCAGAGCAGTGGGGTGCGGGCTGCTCCAAGGGATGGTGAAGGGACTCAAACTTACTTGGGTTGAGAAAAACTAATTATACATAGGTCCAAAAGAATAACCCTGGTAACAAACTAAAAATCTTGGCAGGAAGAGATCTCTTGAGAGTGTCAATACTTTATTTTGGTGTAAAGACGGGAAGCTGGAAAATACACTGTATTTAAAATTTTCTTGGTTCCCCCTCACGCTGTGGAAACCCCCTCCCCCCAGAGCTAATCTGTTCAAACTCAAATACTTAAAAATTACAGCAGCAAAACAAAAGCACAGAAGAAAGAAAACCAGATGGAGAAGGTAACGAGCCAGTAGTGAGCCAGTCATGTCACTTGGTGTGGACGACTGAGGTGCTGAACAGGAGCTTTTGTTTCTGTTTTTTTCTTTTCTTTCCTCCTTTGTCTTCTAAATGGAAACAAGAAAGAGCTTATTTAGCTTTGAACGTTATCCCCTTGCCCCCAGCCAGTTTTCACTCCTGAGAGTCCAGAGTGGCAGCTAAGGTTTGAGGGTGAGGACTGCCTGGGCCCAGATACCAGTCCCTGCACGCTGCAGATCCTCGTCAAGTCCCTTTACGTCCCTAGACCCATTTCTTCATCTGCTCTACCCGTGATCGTTCTACCCATTTAATATAGTCGTCGGGAGAATAAAATGAGCACAATGCTAAGCACAGAGAAGACACACCCTAAATGCTAATGTTCTTGTCTCACTGAATAGCCAGAGTGGTGTGGCCTTCAAGCCTGACTTCTCCCAACTATTAGCCACCCTCTACCAAACAGGATTCTAAAATCTCCTCTCCACTATGTCTTAGAAGGGAAAAAATAAAGACCGTCTCAGAATTTCACATCCAGGCCTCAAGAATTAATGTGGGGTGGCAAAAAGGTCCTATCTGACATACCAAAGGGACTGTTAGCTGACACTAGCATGTGACCCTACAGGCTCAGAGGAAAGAGCCTAATTAGTGATGTCCACCACTAGATCCAGGTGGGAATGACAGCCCTGTACTGAGCACACACTTCTTTGCCTTTACCAGAGAGGGGATCTGAAGAAGCTGGTGTGTCCAGTTTCATGAAGGCTGCTTCAATAGCTTGGCTGAAGGAGTTTTGGAAACTGGGCACAGGAACACGGTCTGAGTTATCACTCTCCCCATCGCTGTCCACAGGAGCAGGAGGAACTAAGCTGTTTTCATCTATAAAATACCGTGTTAGAATTTTAGAGACGATTCTAGAGACTTTGACTTTCTGAAAGGGACCAAATTCCCCTCCACCAGAAGGTCATTCTCACCTTTTTTGGGAGCAGTTTTGGGCCACACATCTGCTTTTGCCTTTCCAACCCTCAGCATCTGCCAAGAGGGAAAGAGGAGAGAAAAGAATTTAAGTAACCAGTCCAATTTCTCTTCCAGACTTGTGTCGACACTAACTAGCTAGAAGGTCAAAGAACTATCACCTTTGGGAAAAAAGGATTTTCCAGGTACTTCTTTCCTCAATGCACTATTTTGGTCATGTTCTCTATATCCTGACCAGCAGAACTAGCAGTCAAATTCCCAAGGTGGAAGACCAAAGCCTGTTTTATTCCTTAGAAAAAGGTTGAAGAATAGTGCATGACAGCACAAAAGGTTCTTACTCAGACTCTCAAGTTGACAATCCTGACTTTTGTGTGATTCTCTTGTTCTGGTAAGTTTTCCCGCTCTTCTTGGGACTCCTAAAAACATAAACCTCCTGGAATAAGCAGTGTGCAGTACCCTCCAATTTCAAAATGAACCACCTGGCTATCGAATTCCAGTTACTAAAGGCTAAGAAAACCAGTTTAATAAATTTAACTTTATCCTGCAACTGCCCCAACAGCTTTAATTACCCTTCAGTCTTTGCTTTTCCAATAGCTCCTTAATTATAAAATTTTAGATCCAGCCTCCATGTACAGTAAAATCAGAACAATTCCTCCTGCCCCTGAATGGAGAACTCTTTCATCTTGTCTGGCCAAGGCCAGTTTCTTAATTATCAAGGGCCAGTGTGAGTCCCATCTGCGACATGCTATGCTCAAAGCAGGGGGAATTTGGGGTTTTTTTTAAGCTTTTGTTTATTTATTTGATAGAGGTCACAAGAGCTTAATGCGGGCCTCAATCCCAGGACCCTGAGATCATGACCTGAGCAGAAGGCAGAGGCTTAACCCGCTGAGCCACCCAGGTGCCCAAAGCAAGGGGAATTTTATTCCTGGAAAAATACCAGGAGACAAGCCCCACAAGATTCAAATAGGAATGTCTTGTCCTAAAGTATGTGTCCCAAAGTGCGGTACAGTATTATTCAAATGGAGTTGGGCTGGCAGAAGTTGATTTCACTGAATAACCTTTCTTTATCATGTACCACTTTGATGATCTTTTCTGTTGGTCCCTGGGAGTTTGGACTCCAAATAGTAAGACATCTGAACCACCTTACTCTTCAAAGGTCATTAAAATACGTACCACCTATGTTTTATTCTTGCCAGAAATGTTTAAATGTTTAACCTGAACCTACTTACGAAAAAAGAAACCAACAAATCCAAACTCTAGGACTCTATATACAACAGCTGGCCTGGATGCTTCACAAATATCCATGCCGTGGGAAGAAAACAAAACAAAAAAGAGAGAGGCTAGAGAAACTGTTGCAGATCAAAGGACACTAAAGAGACTTGACAAATACATGCAATGAGCAATCTTTGGACGTGACTGAAAACAATACAGGACCCTTGAGACATACTCCATGAGATATTCAGTTAGCTGAATTTCTTTGATGTGATCATGACAACTGTGCTTATACAGAAGAATGTCATTTGTGGGGCCACTTATATTCGGTGGTAAACTGTCATTCATGAGGTCTGTAACTGATTTTCAACATAGTAAAACAGTAAAAAGAGAAAGCAAACACAGCAAAATGCTAACAACTGGTGAACACAGATGAAAGGTAAAAGCGTTCGTTATGCTATTCCTTCAACACATTGAAGTTTGAAGTTGTTCACCATTTAATTCTGAAAAAAAGCAAAAGCAATAAAACCTAGTTAAAAAAAAAAAAAACAACTAAAACAAAAACAACAACAACAAACTTAAGCATCTGACATAACTCCTGGGAGCCACTTGCATAATCATCACTTCTGAAGCCTACCAGTTAATGTTCGGGATTGCTCTCAATTATTTCTCTCTCCTTGACTTCAGGACTCTCCTTACCAAAGTCCAATTCCTGCTTA